GGGTGGAACTGAACCCTGAAACTGTGGGGTCTGGGCTAACTCTGGTTACTGACAGAATTGAATTGATTTGTAGGACAGCCAGCTGGTATTAGGGAATTGGTCAATGTGGAAGAAAATCCTCACACATCATGGACATCACCGATAAAGAGCAATCCCGAAAGTTCAGAAGAGAGGGCTGGCAGGGGGAGGGGACCCAGGGGTCTCTCTGAGTGGTCCTGAAAGTGTTGCTATGACACTTTAGAGTGGCAGAGGCAGATTGGTGGAGATGAAGAGAAAAATCTAGACGCTCAGGCGAAAGCTGATAAGGGGCAGTGTTGGTCTACATTAGCTGTGTGCTTAAAGCTGGTTAAATATTAATTTAGGCTCTTTCATAACGAAGGGCATGATTCAGAGCAAGGGTGTGGTGTGTGAAGAGCACTGCTTGGCTCTGGGTGTGTAGACACTGCTGTTTTCACATTAACTCCTTCCAGAATGGTCTGCCTTCACCGTCGTCCTGCATTTCAGAGAGTTTGTCTGGGAGTTTTCTTCTTAGCACTTTGGAGCGTAGTTGTAGGTGACAAGGTGCTGGTGGTCCCTCTGGACGGAAGCCACTGGCTTAGCGTAAAGGATGTAGCCGAGAGTCTCAGTGCCAGGGGGCATGAGATTGTGGTGCTGACACCAGAAGTCAATTTGCTTTTGAAAGAATCGAAATACTATTCGAGGAGATTCCATCTAGTTCCGTATGACGAAGAGGAGCTCAAGAACCGTTTGCGTTCCTTCGGAAAGAGTTTGTTTTCTGAGAGATCATACCTGATGAGTCCTCTGGTGGAGTACAGGAATGTCATGTTTGTCATTGACATGTGGTTTATCAACTGCCAGAGCCTCCTGAAGGACCATGCCACCCTGAATTTCCTCAAGGAGAGCAAGTTCGATGTTCTTTTCACAGACCCGGCCTTACCCTGTGGCGTGATCCTGGCCGAGTACCTGGGCCTACCCTCCGTGTACCTCTTCAGGGGCTTCCCATGTTCCCTGGAGCACGTGTTCAGTAGAACCCCAAGCCCTGTGTCCTATGTACCCAGGTGCTACACAAGCTTTTCAGACCAGATGACTTTTCCCCAACGGATGGTCAACTTCCTCGTTCATTTGTTGGAGCCCGCTCTATTTTATTGTCTGTATTCAAAGTACGAAGACCTGGCATCAGATGTCCTCAGGAGAGATGTGCACTTACCGACGTTGTATCAGAAGGGTTCGGTCTGGCTGTTGAGATATGACTTTGTGTTTGATTACCCCAGGCCGGTGATGCCCAACATGGTCTTTGTTGGAGGCATCCACTGCAAAA